CTCTGTCTGACGCGTCTGCCTCCGCGACCCGAAAGGAGAAGCGGCGATGGAAGATGAAGATGAAGAAGATTGTTCAACGTGGTTACCTTTGTTGCGTGTGATAAACTAAATCTTTCATTTTTCATTATTTTTTGTTGTTAATGTAAGTAATTTGTAGTTCATTTTCGTATGCCATTTATAACTTTTCCTTGTTATCACACTCTCCTAGAAATATCGCAGTTCTGGTACTACGGTTTGATCTTTCATTCAGATGGCTTTCCACGATGAAATGTAAGATTTTTCGAAATGTTTGATTTCACGTTGAAATCACGTTGGCTGCTCATTTCAAGATTCCGCGTTAAATGATTTAACTCCGGAAATATCTCTTAATCTTTAATTTAAAATCAGTGCCTCTAATCCGTGGTAGCGTATCAGTGAAAAGCTTGTTATATCAAATGACATGCGTTTGTTTGCATCAGTTGCGCTTCTCGTTCCTTGCCGATAAGGCACCGCTAATAAACGATGTCAGGGTTATACCGAAGCTTCTGTACTTCGTTTGACACACATTAAAACTTGATCTTGACTGTTGTTATGGTACTTGTAGTTTCATCGTTTATAATAATGAGGTTGTCTGATCAAACGTCAGTGATCTAGGCCATTGGGGAAGGCGATATTCTTCCACACGCCGCAGTCGGGTGCACGCCTTAGTTGCTGCCCCTCATTTGAGAGAGGTGCACATCGCCATAAAGTCATAGGCTAGTTATCCATGGAACACATTGGTCACGTCTTATTCTGCAGAGGTTGAATGTTCATTTCAGTTTCCAGCTCGACGCTTCACCGACTAGCCTACTAGATACTTAGAAATTTGAAACTGATTTTACATTAGTATAGTCTGATATGTTTACTGTACTTAAACATAATATTTGTAAGTTGTCCAGCATTTCAGCTTACTTTAGATCTATCTCCATGGGTAATGTCCCACAGAGGTCATTTTTCGAACCGTATAAAAAAATTCTCTTATTTTGAAAACCGACTGTTTGTCGTAGTTATCGCAGTTACCGTTTAATTGCATAAATTAACACCTTAATGAAAAACAGTTTTATATTGTGGTGGCGATATGGTCTTTAGATTAGTTTCTTATGCTCTAAAGTTTCGCATATTGACCTTAATTTTTTCTGACAGTTGCTATCCGTTTTTCTGTGGATCTGCGATAGAACAGATGAAAAGGTAAAAATTTTATTCAGGATGTCAGCCACAAGGCTGTCGATTTTCTTTTAAGTCTTGGGATCTTAATTATAATGTTGCAAATCACCTCAAGCCAAAGAATTGAAGTGTACTGCGCTTAATTGCTTGTTGGAGGGCATAAAAATATTTAATCTAGTCTCATAAATCATCCAATAACTTCAGTATTTGAATCAGAGCCTTGCGCCACTATATTTTCTTTAGAGATGAGCAGAGTAACAATGTCTATTCGTTAGTTCCTTGTTGGTGACACTGCTTTACTTATCAATCCCCATGCAGGATATGCAGATTCTCTCAAATCACGCGTAAAAGTAAATACAGTTATTCTGATTGTCGAATTGACTGAATGTGCTGATCAACTCTAACCTGAGTGATTCGGGTTTCAGGAACAGTCTCGTTTGTCATTTTTGTTTGTGTTTGAAGCATGAGCACATCATAAAGTAATGAATTTCATGCTAATGACCAATTAATAGCGGTTGCTTGAAGGTAGTGATTATTTTGGTAGCAGTAAGTTTTTACTTAATTTATGCTAATGTAATGTTTATAATTAATTAAAATCAATGTTACTTTTGCTTCTTTATAGAACGAAGGCTTGCAGACCCCGAAAGGTGCTAGCTGCATTAGCGTAAATGGTGTATCGTTGTCTGAAAACGGAGTGTACGAAAATAACGACTCGGCAGTCACGGATGCATCGTCGCAAAGACTTTTTTACTCGGCGCACAATGCGCGGCCGCCGCTACCCCCTCCATCGTTCATGGACGACTTCGAATACGAGACCATACTCCCGCGACCCACTACTTACTATACGTCCCGAGAGAAGCAGCTGATCGCCGACTACGTGTCGAGGTACGGCGCCAGTTCGGCAGCTGCCAGGTTCAACATTCCGTCCACCCAGGCTTATTACGTCTACCGCCGCCAGTTTCGCCGCACCAGCACTCGCAATAACGGCTACGGAGTCTACTCAGCCAGTTGCAGCTACCGACCCGATAGCAATGACGGTAGTAGAAGCATCGACGCAAACCTGTTGATCAACGGTATTGCCGCTTCGTCTTTGCGTCATCATGTC